GAAGAAGAAGAAAAGGAAGAGGTAAAGTTGAAGCCAATTAAGAAAGAAAAGCCAGAAGAAGAAAAGCCAGAAGTTACATTAAAACCTATCAAACGTCTTCCTAAGGAAGAAGAAGAAAAACCGGAGGAAGTTGTACTGAAACCTGTGAGACGACTGCCTAAGGAAGAAGAAGAAAAGGAAGAGGTAAAGTTGAAGCCAATTAAGAAAGAAAAACCAGAGGAAGAAAAGCCAGAAGTTACACTAAAACCTGTCAAACGTCTTCCTAAGGAAGAAGAAGAAAAACCGGAAGAAGTTGTACTGAAACCTGTGAAACGACTGCCTAAGGAAGAAGAAGAAAAGGAAGAGGTAAAGTTGAAGCCAATTAAGAAAGAAAAACCAGAGGAAGAAAAGCCAGAAGTTACACTAAAACCTGTCAAACGTCTTCCTAAGGAAGAAGAAGAGAAACCAGAGGAAGTTGTACTGAAACCTGTAAGACGACTGCCTAAAGAAGAAGAAGAAAAGGAAGAAGTAAAGTTGAAACCAATTAAGAAAGAGAAACCAGAAGAAGAAAGACCAGAAGTTAAATTGAAGCCAGTCAAGCGTTTTGAGAAACCAGAAGAGGAAAAACCTGAAGAAGTGATATTGAAACCTGTGAAACGTGTTCCTAAAGAAGAAGAGAAACCAGAAGAAGTTATTTTGAAGCCTGTAGAAAAGAAGAAACCAGAGGAAAAGGAGAAGCCAGAGGTGAAACTGAAGCAAATAAAACCTTTGGAGAAACCAGAAGAGGAAGTGAAATTAGAACCGGTTCCAAAACCGGTTCCTGAAAAAGTCGAAGAGAAACCCGAAGAAGAGGAAAAACCAGAAACCGTATTACCGTGGCGCCGCGGCAAAAGGACGAAGAAGGTGGTCGACTTCCGAGAAGAAGTCACTGTCGTACCGATCGACCAGGAGAAAGTGGTTTCGGAGGAAACAACGGTCATTGAGCAGAAAGTGGAATCTACGGAGATAATCCAGGTGGAAGTTAAAGAGATCGAAGAACAGAAACCCGAAGAGGCGCCTGCGCTTCCGTGGAGAAGATCGAAGAAAGAAACGGCGAAAGAGGTCGTCGAGGAGAAGATCGAAGTCGAGGAAATCAAACCTGAAGTGGTGCGCAAGGAGGACAAAGTGGTCGAAGAAGTCGTCGAAACGGAAGTCTCTTGGAGAAAGAAACGAAAGCCAAAGAAACCAGAAGAAGAGAAGGAGGTGGTGGAACTGAAACCAATCGAGAAACGAAGGGAAGAGTTTATCGAGAAAGTAGAAGAAGTGGTTCTGAAACCAGTCGTAAAGGAAGAAGTGTCCGAAGTAGTAGAGGAGAAGCATGAGATTCGTCTTAAGCCAGTTCCTCAGAAACCGCGGGAAGAAGAAATACCTGAAAAGGTAATTCTGAAGCCCGTAAAGAGAGAGAAACCCGAGGAGATACTTAAAAAAGAAGAAATACCAGAATTGAAACCGATGAAATTGGAAAAACCAGAAGAAGAAGAAGTGAAAGAAGAAACGGTAACTGAAATGCCATGGAGAAAACCAAAGAAGAAACCTGAACAGGTGCCTGTACCTGTTCCTGTAGAAAAGGAAGAAGTCGTCGACGAAACAGTAACCGTAGAAGAGGTCAAAGTGAAGAAGATTAAAGACGTGGTCGCCAAGGATGTAGTCGAGGTCGAAAAGAAAGTCGAAGAGGAAAAAGTGGAGGAGCGTAAGAGGAAACGCTATCCGCGTACGCAGATGGATATATTGATCACGGATAAAGACAAGAAGATCGCTCCGAGATTCATTCAGAAATTACAGCCGGTTATCGTGCAACCGGAAACAACCGCGAAATTCACGTGCACAGTTTTTGGCAATCCATTCCCGGAAATTACATGGTACAGAAACGAGCAGGAGCTTCACGCCAGCGAGAAGTATATAATGACCATCTACGAGACGACCGCCTCTTTGGAAATAGCCAAGGTGAAGGAGGAGGACGCCGGCATGTATTCCTGCAGAGCGTCGAATCCTGCTGGAGTAGCCACGTCCACCGTGAATCTCGTGATATTCGGTACTAGATTTGTGTGTGTTGTGACGTTCGTGTGGTCGTTTTCGCTCAGTTCTCAGATTGATGATTTGCGAATTTACGAATGCTTAGAAATTATAGACTTGTGAATTCAGGAATTCAAGAAATTTCTAGGCAAACGCGTGAACGTTGCTTGTTGCGTGTTTCCCATTCTTACTTTTTACCGTGTATTTTTTATTGCATTTCTTTAATTGACCAACCAACTTTAAAGAAACTTATCGAACCTGCTAACTTCAAAAAAATGTTATTTTGGAAGTGCCCGATTTTTATTTGAATCAGAAGCATTTTCTCTAGTAGAAACTCAGTTTCGTATAAAGAACGACGATCATTTTTACTAATAATTACGTATGCTTCTATTTTAAAATTACTAATCAACATACTCATTAAATCGTAATATTTGATTTCTGACCGCCACGATCAAAACCAAAATCCTACCTACTATCGCATACTCGTTTTGAAAACTTGTATTTTGTGCATGATGTTTTACAGTGCCGTTGTCTCGTTGTCAGTGACCGTTCCGCCTTGCAACTACCATAAACTCACCGACTGTTTCGTTTCGCAGAAAAAGAGGAAGAAGGCGTAGCGCCACACTTCGCGACACCCATTAAACCTCTTATGGTGGAAGAGCACCAACCAGCTGTGCTCGAGTGCGTGGTCACTGGAACACCAATGCCGGAAGTGAAGTGGTACCGCGGGGAGCAAGAGCTGAAGCCGCGAAAGGGCAGAGAGATCACTTTCAATCCCGAGACTGGCGAAGCGAAATTGCACATACTGCAGCCGACCGAGGAGGACGAGACGATTTATCGCGTTCGAGCTGTGAATAAATTCGGCCGAGCCGAGTGCAGAGCGAACTTAGTGATCAGTAACGTGGTGAAGGTCAGTAAACCGGAAGTTCTACGAGCACCAAAGATCACCAGACCCCTGCCAGCTTTGGTGGCCGAACTTGGAAAACCGTTGACCTTGTCGGCCGATTTCGAGAGCAAACCAACGCCGGAAGTGAAATGGTTCCGCAATGGGGCCGAGATCATCCCGTCCGACAAACGCGTGATTAATATATACGAAAGTACTGCTGAACTGCATATTCCCGAAGTGACGAAGAAAGATGGCGGCAAGTACGAGGTTAGGGTTCAAAATCCTGTCGGAGAGGCGAGAAGTTCAGGATCTGTTACGGTGAGGGAACGCGAGGACAAGACGGACGAGGTGAAAGCACCGAGATTCGTCGAGCCGCTACAACCACAGATCGTTGCCGAGGGAGAGGTCGTGATCATGGAAACGCGTGTCGAATCCTATCCGACAGCCTCGTTCCAGTGGTTCCACGAGACCCGCCCTCTGGAGGTACTTCAACTTTTCACTTTTGTTTTCTTCTTATGTTTTTGTCTCTCAGTATCTTGTTTCTTTGACAACTGTATATTTTCGAATCTCTAAACTTGCTCTTGAAATCCTAATCTGTCACCTGAGATTAACTCTCAATCGGTATCGATGTCTTGTAAAACGCGACAGTTATTTCTAAATTCAATTTATATTTTGTGTCTTGCTTGACGAAGAATTCAATACGATAATTAATCGTAATAAGAGTCCTTAAAAATAACAAATGAAAGACGATTTACTTTTAAAATTCTCTCATCTAAAACTAATTATATCTGAAAATCTCTAAAAAATTCTCAACAAACATCAATCCTTAGAATCCTACCCAAACTACCTGAAACATCGAAAATATCCTTAAAAATCACAATAAAAAAATGAAAAATGAAAACGATCAAAAATCTTCTAATATCCGTAATCAGCGAAAATCCATAGAAACAGCGAATAAAACTTCGAATTTCTATTACAGTCCACGCCGCAGGTGAGAATCGTGACACAGGAGAACAGATCGATCCTCATGATCAAGGAGATCAAGCCAGAGTTCGCGGGCACGTACACCTGTCGCGCCGAAAACGTTGGCGGTTCGGTCACCTGCACGGCGACAATAAATCTGTTGGAAACACCGTGGGAAGAAACGGTGGAGCTTGTTTCACCGACGTTTGTCAAACGATTGTCACCGGTCAAGGTCATGGATGGCGAAAGCGCGAACCTGACGTGCGTCGTTCAAGGAAAGCCTACACCCAGAGTCGAATGGTATCACGATAACAAACCGATCAAAGAAGGCAAGGAGATCACTATTGTTCAAGACACGGAAGGTGTCTGCAGCTTGGCTATAACCGAAGTGTTCCCGGAAGATGCTGGAGAATACACTTGTCGTGCCGTGAATCCTGTTGGCGAGGCCGTTTGCACGTCGTCGCTTGTCGTGGAAGGTAATTTAGAAGATAGCGATACTTAATTGAATTTGAAATAAAGAACGAGATTTTGGAGTAATTCGAAGGAAATTTGTGAAAATTTTTGAAATGACGACGATTTGATACTAGATGTAATATTAACAAGAGAAATTGCTGAAGGGTAATATATATATATCGAGTAATAAAATTATGTCTGATGAAATTTTTACGAATATGAATATTTGTTATTGATAAATGTGGCAAAAAATTATACGTGGTATTATTCACGATAGAATTATGATTAATAATGAGTAGTATAAAATGATAAGAATAATTCTGTTTAAATTTAATGCTAAAAACAGTGTTACGAGAGATTAAGATTACCGACGAGACATTTTCAAGAAATTATAATCTGACTTTTTATAATAACAATTTTCAGCATACGAGTACGTACCGGATTCGGAGATTGCATCCTCGATCATTGCGACGTCTCTTACTACAGGGCAAAGTGGTTCTGAAGAGGATCTCTTATCTCCCAAGGTACTTGCAAAACAAAAATTACTTCATATAAACATTGATTTTTTTAAATTCATAAATTTGACAATTCAATTATTTTGTATTCAGGAAACTCCCTTGTTCGACACGGACACAGAGGAATCTGCGCCGGAGATAATAAAGAAACTTCCTCAGTTAATTCCTACCAAAGTCGGAGAATTAACCAGGTGAAAAACAAATATTAATGTGAAACCATAATTATTAAAATCCTTATATATGTATAATAGAGTCAAGTATACAAGTATTTCACTTAAATGGAATTATCTTCCAGTCAGACAAGATATCTGAGTATTCGAATGATGATGGGATAGTTGTATAATTATACATATACATAAA